ACACTCGTAATACTGTAAGTGGGAGCAGCGAGGTATCCCCCGGGGGTTAAAGTGTCACCCGTCGAGCAGAAAAGGGAGGGGGGAGGTGACCCCACGCGATCCAAGTCTCTAAGGTGAGGTATCATCCGACTCTGCCAGCCTTTATGAAAAAAACACAAGCTGTAAACACTATCCAGTCGAGCCTTCAGTGGACAGCATTCTACAAACCTTAGAGAGGAGGAAAGAAAAAAAAAAGAAAAATCAAGGAAATCAGGCCGCGTGATGCACGATGACTACGACCTGTCTCAGTTTTCATACAACTGGGGGGGAGAAACAGAGCGGGCACTTTTCTATTCTAGTCAAGGCAGGTGGGCGTAGGAGAGGGGATGGGGGGCGGTGCGTCGCAGCCTCGTTGGCTCAGAAGTGCCGCGGGAACTCGCACTGTTCACAGCGGTTGAGGGCGGGATGGTTGAGGAAGGTGCAGGCGTTGCAGCTCCACTGCTTCCCCTCGTCCTCCTCCTGGTCTGCGTTGGGCTTCACAACCTTACTGCCCGAGTCTGCAGGGAGGAGGAGGAGGAGGTCAGGACAAGTTTATCCATTAAGTGATGAAAACATGGACATCAAAATGATTTACATATGTGGCTGTGTTGAAGTGAACACGTCTGTATCGGTGTGTTTACATGCACCGCAGTGATCTGATTATTTCCCACTTGGCAGTAATCTAATGTAAACACAGAACCAGGAGTCAGTTTTCAGGTTAAAGGATTAAGGAGAACTTGGATAACAGAGCAACATGTCTGCTCAAAAATGTTTCTAAAAGCTTTCTGAGTCAGCACATGAACATGCAATTGAGTCTAGTATCATTATAGTGAGAAGCATTATTGTTGAAGTAACACATTGTACTGTCTCCTAACCTGGTGGTAGGTTGAAACTTGAAACTTAAATTAAGTTTCTTTTTTAGGAATAAATCCTGTTTCTCCCTCCAGGCAAGGAAACACTTGATTTCAGCAACTTTTTTTTATCTTTATTGGATAACGGTGACCTGCTCTTATGAATGCACTTGACTGGTGCCAGAAGGAGTTGGATACATTGTAGTTTACATTTTATTAGTGGCTGTGGAGACACCAATGCAATCTGTATGCTGCTGCTAAATGGCCACCTGTGTATGTCTGCTGACTCTCTCATTGGTTGGCTTTTATTCATAAAGCTCTCCTTGGGCTGGTTCCTTGTTATCTGTGTACATAGATGTGTAAAGACCAAAACCAAAATGGCCTGCACTCTCGCAATATTCTACACATGTTGGTTCCCAGAGTTAGAACAGAAGTGCAACTGCAGAAATCTCAACTTCTTACCTGGTTAAATAAAGGATATGGGATATAGATATGTGTGTGTGTGTGTGTGTGTGGCCACACTCGTAATACTGTAAGTGGGAAGTGAGACATACCGGATAGTTAAATCTCTTCAGGACTCTTAACAGTATTTATTCAGTGAATTTCAGTTCATTTTAAAAGGGGCCCAAAATGGTGCTATTCAAATTAAGATAAGAATTAAGAGATTAAAAAAATATGTCTGACTACCAAGGGATGAGGAGATTTCCAGATCTGCAAATATGTTAAAGATGCAGTAGGTACCTTTTATCAAATTAACTTTTTGTCATATTTGCTGAAACTTTTACTATATCCTGACAGTAGAACATGAGACAGATAATGTGTCAAAAATCTGGTTCCTCTGGCTCCTCCTAGTGTTATATGACAAATAAAACATGACAAAAAGTTATTTTGATAAAAGTTACCTACTGCAGCTTTAAATAACCAAAAGACCTACTACATTTATACACTACATTTCAAATCTGAAAAACAAGAAGGATAAAATAAGATTGTGGACCTCGTTAAAAACAAGATGTGTGTTTGATGATAAAGGGATGAAGAATAAAAGAAGAGAAGAAGGACAGAGATACCAACCAAGTGGAAGAGGAGGGGAAGGACCAGAGGAGGGCTCCATCATGAGTTTAGAGGTCACATTATATCTACATCCTCTCCTGTCTGGCCCTGGTATGATGGAGCCGAGCAGAGAGCGAGGGATGAGTGGATGGATGGATGAAAAACGATTACAGGGCAGGTGGGGAGGGGAGAAGAAAAGTGCAGAAATGAAGAAATCAGTAGACCGGAAGTCACAAACAGGGTTAAACCAACATGTTGGGCTGATTGACTGATCACTTAGCAGAGATGTGTTCAGAGTGGATGACGTGTGTTGCCTCACTGTGTGTGACAGCTCTGATGTTTCAGTGCAAAGTTGTATCGTCTCATGATACTCTGTGTGTGTATATATACAGAGCTCATTTTTACAGACTTTGCTATTGGCCTTCAACAACCCATATTGGTACAACCCTGATGAAAACATGAATGGAATAGTGAAGTTAGTACTATTAGCCTTTTAGATACTTAAATAGAATTTTATACACTGGACTCTACTTAAGTAAACACAGTCTGTAGTTTAATTATCTAAAGACGCAACTGACATGGCCATTAGTCAGCAAGTACAGTGTGAAAACATTAGACAAAATGCAAGAAATAAATTAATAAATGAATTAGATAAATGCATGCCATATATAATCTATCAATAGGATTATAACATGGGGCAGTACTAATGTAGTAAATCCAAAATCTAAGGAACGTTTCCAATGAAATGAGAAATGTCCAGACATGACCATGCAACCTTCTCTAAACTTACCAATAGATAAAGTACCTTTGGGTTTGGGTGGGACAGGACCAAGGAATCCAATGTTATCATAAAAATTATGGATTGCACTGGGATTAAAGTCTGGTCCTGTAAACAGATGGAAGAGTAAAAGATTTACTTTTCATTTAATAGTGGATTTACCTTTCTCATAGCTCATCAATGCTCAACAATGTTCATGTAGAGCTTTTCACAGTAATGCCAAAATGTGTTTTGAATACACTGCATTAATGAATACACAAATACATACTGTATAAAACTGTGGTGCCTGATGCAGTGTTTTCATACACTGCATCAGGTCTGATTTAACCACAAACAGAAGAGCTGAAACTTAAAAAAGATTGTCTATAGTGTTATAAATCTACTTATTACGAAGTATAAAAATATAAACCATTAAAAACTAATTTCGAGTGTGTCTTGGCATAACTGGTCGCAGTAAATGTCATCCCAGTTATCGCCACATTTGTAGCTTCATGGGTGAGAGGTACTATTCATTCATCTCGCCTTCCTTCACCTGTGTAAACCACTTGTTCGGTGGCTCCATGTCTAATAGCGGTGGAGTGCTGCCAGGGGGCCAATAAATCCCTTGTTACCAACCAGCAACAGGATGCAATTCAGGAAGAACTGGTAGTTAACAGCACAATGGCAGCGACTTGACCGCGTGTGTGCAGAGGATGTGAGCGGGCCTGAGTGATGTGCTATAGCTGCAAGCGCTGGATCAAATCAGACCTCCCTCACTCAATGACTTATTGTTACCTTTATTATACAGCGCAGACATGTACAGAAGCTGTATGCCAGTTAAACAAAATGAAAATATTGAATATTATCAGACACACAGTTTCCTACCTCTTGTTTGAAGGAGATCGATTTCTTTGGTGAGACAGTCGATGTCAATCTGCAGTAACCTGTTTTTGCATCGCAACTGCTTCATTTCCTCAATCTGAAAGAGAACGAGACAGGAAGGGATGAGCCGGTTAGCAGTCAGACGCGGGCAGCTCTGAGGTCGGGCATCCTGCTTCTTAGTCTGTGTAGCAAATCAGTGAGCGTGTCAGGAGGAGAGCTGCTCCACTCTCCAGAGCTGACTCGCCTCAGTAAACAACACTGAACCACGGAGCTACTGCGCTCAGCAACACCAGCCAATTAACCTTCCGCAGCCACTCCCCCCCCCCCTCTGTTGATTCAAGCAGCTGACTCGACAAAAAAAGCCAAGAATGGCACTTAATCTGAACCCGAGAGGTTTCAACAAACTCAAACAGTGCAGAAAATAAATATGAAAAGGCACGTTCACTTTGTTTCCTTTTTTACTCTCACTATCACTGCTATAGGGATTCCTGTGAAGTAGCTGCAGACCATGTTTGCAGAGCTCCAGAATGAACTGTGAAGTGAATCTGACATAAACTGTATGCTCTGTCAGTCTGAAAATATGGAACAATATCAGCCAAATCATAAACAGACCCTGTAATCAACATAGTTTCAGGGTGTAGGAGTACTGATGTGCCATGAGCTGGAACCAAGAGCGGCAATGTGACCCAGATCATTTTGTTTTGTCTGTTCAGCCTTTTATCGGTCAGTAATAACTAGAAAAACATTTATCTGCAGCTATGAAGACCATCTCTGATGACTCTTAAATCATATATTTCTGAGAGGACTGCTAATACAATCATATTAGCAGTTCACCAAGAACCCCCCTCCTTAGCGTACTGAACAGAAAACCATGAATTTTGTGAACCATTGAACCCCTACCATCAAATTAAATCAAAAACCAACAAATAATCTCAAAAACAGCTCAAAATTGACACATTTATATCTCTAAGCTTACAGAAGGAATTTGGGAGGCCGAGTTTGATCTCTCCAGCCGTCTCCTGGTCAGGTCGTTCTCCATCTCGTTGACCTCCTCTTTTAGCTTCTCCAGCTTCTTCTTCTTCAGCTCCAGCTCGTGCCACAGTCTCTCCATGCGGGCCTTCTGATGGACCAACAACGCTGGACAACACACACAGAACAGTACTATATTCATTCACTGGTAAACTTTACTGAAAAATGTGAACAGAATTGAACGTGATACATCATCAAAAGAGGGAAAGAAAGAATATTTGATCAAAAAACTTGTGTAACTGTAACTAAAACTTCAGTATGCAGTACTGACACATTTTCAGGTACACCATAGGCTAACCTCTGCACACACCAGTCCAACCAGTTTTAAGCATAATTCCCTGTGCATAAAAACAACTTTGTGTAAGGAGAGACAGGGGGAGCACATCAAATTCCTTACTGTTGTCCATAAGTCTGCGTTTCACCACCTATTGTGGTAACACGAGGAGATCAGACTTATCCCGGTTAGCACACCGCTGCAGGCAAATTCTGCTGCAGTGTTTAATACAGAACATCAACTGTACACACGATCTGCTCAAGTCTCTACAGCAAGTTTCCCATAATTCATGGTAGATCTGTTGACAGGTTGTAACACCTCCTAAACAGACTTTCAACTATAAACAACTCTCTCGTTCTTGCTCCACACAAACACATGCCACTTGGCAAATTATGGGAAGACGGTCTACTGGTGAATGTCCTGTAACAAAGAGATAATACTCTTGTTCTCCTGTCAAAATGTCCTCAAGCTAAATTGCTACCTGTTTTCTTAATACCTGTCACACAGTGTGACAGAGTTGTCTTTTTACTTTGATTCATTGAAATGGATTAGATCTATGAAAGCCCTATTTCTATATGGATATTTACTAGCTTTATCATTTAATTGGACCCAAGACAGAAGATGTTTTTTTATTATACATTTAATTTTTGTAATTCTCTCTTTCTTTCTTTTGTGGTTCTCTTACCTTTTATGCATTTTTGTACTTCATTTTCATCTTGATTGTATTTTAAACCATATTATCATCACTATCTTGTTGCTGCTGTTCACATTCAACAAGACCACAAATTCAATAGATGCACTACAGAATTATTTCCTGTGTTTAATTGTATGTGTATATGTATATAAATTACTGTGTATATTGTTTTATTTCATTTATTTATTTTAATTTGATCTTTTATGTTATTCCATGAATTTTATTATCTTTTTCTGTGTGTAGCATGAAGGAAGTACATAACTTTAATTTCTTTATACAGCCTTGTAATGTATAAGGATGAATGCATTTCCTTGATTAAACTGTACCTTTCTTGGAAGTTACAATGTTTGTTAAAGTTGTATTTTGCAATAAAGAAAAAAACAGTCACACAGTGATATGTCACTTGATAGTGACAATGAGCTAAATGTTCAAAATGTGAATATAATTGTGGCCCATTTCCGTGCTTTACAGTGATCTTAGTTCAGCTATTAAAGCAAATGTGCCTTCATTTTAATCACAACGAATAATCTTTGGGTTTGGATCTTGGATTTGACCTTATTATTTTATTCATGGTGTAATAATGAGCAACTACTCTCATGACCATCCAGATTTATCATTTCACATGTAAAACTGTTTAAAGCTAATCGTTCTTCTTGGAAAACCCACCCCGCTAGTTTTCTGTTTAATTGAGCTTAAACATCAACATGGTCTTGTCTTACACCTGATTAGACATGTTGTCTTTCCCTACAACTGCCAAACTTCTAAAAACATTGTCTTATTTCTCCTAAACGATTCACCAAATTAAGCTCAGGTGACAAATATGTCATGCAGTTACAGAATAACACTTGATTTTATATCTGCAACGCCTAGATTTAATTGTTGTTTTTCAGATTCAGGAATTTGGGAAGGCAATGAGTCGCGCAATTATCCGAAGGCTCACTGAATTATCTGGTGTGCATCTGACTAAATGAAAACTTAGGCTCACAAGATGTAAGTCTGGCTGTGTGATGTTACCAACCCAACACATAAAAACAAAAATATGTATTCAAAGAAACGTGCAGAATCAAAAGGGGTCATGTCTTTTGGCACCAGGTGTTGAGGCAGTATAACTTAAGTCTGTCATTTGAAAGACTCCTTCTCTTGCCAATCAGAACTGGATCTTCAACAAAATTATATAATCACAATAATGTTATTCTGCTGCCAAACAGTAACAGTCCTGGTGTAAATCCTGACTGGTGAAGGTTAAACACATTAATGTTTAATTAACAGTTGTGTGCTGACAGGTGTGTATTTATCAGGTACAGCGGTTCCATGTTGGTGTCAATAAACATGTTTTCGAGCCAAAGCAGATAAAGTAGGAAGAAACTGGGCTGAGGGTCAGCAGCAGAGGCAGCATGCCCAGCGTGAAGCCCCTCTTGGTGGTGGTAGTCACCGCAGTACGTGAGCCAGAGCTGGTGACTCACACATAATACAGTGAAAAGCCCAAAAAAGGACACAGCACTGTGCTCTGACACGTTTTGACTCACACTACAGAAACCGCCAGTCTCAGGGGTCGTCGGAACAAACGCAGCGTTTACTAAGGAGGACTCACACTGCAGTCATCACGCCGGCCCTCACTGAGCCAGTCACCTTTGCTTTTATCTACCTCACAGAGACAGACATGCAGAGCAGTGTTTCCTACGCTGACTGAGCATTAGTGACAGCAAGTATATTCAGTTTGGCTCAAGAATTACATTACAGTCGATGTTATGGAAAGAGACTTTTAAAATCACACAGTACACTTTATAGTAAAATTACTTTCTTGGCAGCATGCAGTGGAAAAAGCATTTAGACCCTGTGCTGGTAACAAAAAAAAAAAACCTGTATAATATTATTCATTGTTACAACAGCTCTGAAAACTGCTCTTTTTTGTGCCTCATCACTGTGCACTCTTTAGCCACTTGACATTTTAAACAACGAATAAACAGTGAAGCAAACAGCTCTAGAAAGATATCAGAGGCCTACTTGATGAAGGATTCAGTGCAAACAAATTTTGGTCCAAGTTGTGGGTGTTAACTCCTTATCTAAAGTATGTATTCGCAAACCTACGGGCATAAGAAGTGATCTGAGGAAATAACTTCAAGAAACGCCAACTCCACTTTGCAATTCTAGCTCTAATATAAAATGTTGTAGAAATAATCAAAAGAGGACATTGTATGGAAAGTTTTAAAGCCCTTGTACTACTCAGAATACTTTTCTAGGTGATTTATATTTTTCACGTTTAGTCTAATTTCTTCTGCAGTTGTTTCTGTGTCGGCGCAGAGACTGTTTATGACCAAAGTGATGATACTCAGCATTGCTCACCTTGTGTGTACGCTGCATCATCAGAGCCCATGCTGAGTCTGCGAGGCTCGCTCGGCCTCTCTCTGTGCGGCGACAGTGGGTCTGAGAGATGGAGGGGGTCTGGCTCCACAAAGTGGTGGTCTGAGGGTAGGCTGAGAAGGTTGTTGGGCTCAAAAGTAGGGGACACGACTCCGGGGGACACAGCTGGGGGCTTATTGGGTGACACCGTGATTTTAAAAGTGTATTTGGTGTTGGGCTGAGTCACCACCACGCGTGGGGAAGAAGCTGTGCCTCCCCCTCCCACAGAGGCACGGGACTTAGGAGGATGGTGGTGGATGTAGGCAGGGCCCATGCTTACTTGGCCCCCCATGTTCCTGGCCCCCGAGGGCCCCTGCAAGGGAGGGTTGGCTGAGATGTAGACTGTGGGAGGGTTCCTTCCCCCACTGTCGTCGCTGGAGGCATTGGCAGAAATGTAAAACTTGGGTTGGGAGCGGGAGCCGGCTGAGGCCACGACGGCCTCCTCAGAGGGAGTGGAAGCAGCAGTAGGCGGGCTGGCAGAGATGTAAACAGTGGGCTGGCTGCGGCTCAGACCTGGGCCTCCGATAGAGAGAGGGGTGGTGGGGACAGTAGCCACCCCGGTTGAAGAGGAGGAAGAGGATGGGCAGGAGGAGGAGGTGGAGGAGGACCGCGGCCCGCTGCTTGTCCGCAGCACGGCTGTTGTGGTTGTGGAGTTGCTCCTCTGAGGAGATTCAAGTTTGATCTCTATCTGATTCTTCCGTGGGCCAGTGGAGATGTTCTGGATGTTGTACTGACTGATGGTAGACAGGGAGGTGGGCATGACAGAGGAGGAGGAAGAGGAAGAAGAGCACGAGGAGACACCAGAGGGAAGAATGGAGGGCGCCTGGGGATTTGTTGGAGAGCTGATTGGCATATAGACGTGCGAGGTCTGGTGGCCCTGGGTCTGGTGCTGTGAGGTATGTGAGGAGGCGTGCTGAGGGCCGGACCAGGAGCCGGACAGGGAGGAAGGGTGTGAGATCTGGTAGATCTGCTGCGGGGTCTGGGAAGTGGGGCTGTACTGGGCCCTGCCTCCCGGCTGCTGGTTCTGCCGGGTCGTACCAGACTGGCTAACATAGGGCCTGATGTAGATAGAGTTACCCTGTGGACTGCTGAGGCCCGACTGTGGTCCGCCATGTATGTGCAAAGAAGTGGGGGTGTTGCGGCCTGTATTGGGGGCTAGCGTCACGGTAATGGGGTTAAAGCGCGGTGTCTGCTGGGTACCCATACTCGTTCCTTTGACACCCAGAGGGTAGAGTCCAAGGTGCTGTGGAGGCTGCGGTTTGCGTGTGGGCTCCATCACACCAAATACATTGAGGCTGGAGGGCACCTGCACTGGGGCTGACTGGGGATCCTGCTGAAAGAAGTCACTGTTGGGGGCCTGGCCTGTCTGGAGGGGCCCGTCACTCAGGCTGTGGGCCAGAGTCCGGCTGCCGTTCATTCTCAGGCCGTCCCGAACCGGGGCCACGTGCACATTCTGAGATTGCAGGCCCAGGTTCAGCTGGGTCATGTGATTACGGAGCCTGGGGAAGGTGGGGTCGTCAGAAAAGCTGAGGTTTCCTTCTTCACTGTACAGGTAGCCCGGACTGACCTGGGACAAGTATTCACAGCAGGCGTCTAAATTATTGTTGTTCTGAAGGAAAGAGAGAGAGGAAACAAACTCACTATGCAATATCAATGTTTCAGGTGAGACAAAGATGCTAACGTACCATTTTATACCATACCATCAAGTCATAACATTCTTAACTAGCTTGTTATATTTTAAGTTTACAATCAACTGAAATGAAACATAGCCCTATTTCAACTTTCTCACCTGCAGAACACACTGGGAGACAACACCCTCTGGTACTTCAGGGAACTTCTGGCGCAGGTCATGCAAAACCTGAATGTCAATCTGGTGGCTTCCCTGGGCCATTCGTATGTTGCCAGGTCAGGACTGCTTGTTCTGTTCAGCGCACTGGGGCGTCAGTCGTGGCAGCAAACCGCCTTCATCTTGAACATCTTCTGAAATGAAACAAAGACAAAAAGGAAAAAAAAACCTGATGAGAACACATCCATAAGATTTATGTAAAAACAAAGATACACACAGAATCCAACCTTTCTCTCGTCCATACCCATAGTCATATGAGCTGGAATGTGTTTTGTTAAAATTCAATAAAACAATAAAAATAATGTCCAAGTAGCAGGCAGGGAGGGAGCCAATATGGTCTACTGCAACTCCACTCTACAAGACATCCGTCAGCATTTGAGGTTGTCTATTTCATTATGCCTGGAAGCTTTCAAAACTAAATCGCAGAGATCCTCAGTGAGAATAGATGGCATTCATTTCAGAAGCCCTCCTACCCACAAAGCTCCTTAATAAAAGAGTAGCAGAGGGGGCAAACCACCTCTGACTGTCTACTGGGAAAACCAAGCCTTTTTCACTGATCTTAATATCAACATTCACTTATTAAGGACAGAATGGGAGCAAACAGTAGTCTGGTCTGGAGTCAAATCTCCACATAAAGGTCTGTTAAGCTCCAACGTACGACAGCTCTGCAGAACAGTTGATTCCACAGAATCACGGCTTTAATTCCGACACCACAGAACTGCAGGGCTATATACTGTGTTTGCTGCAGACTATCTCACACACACATAAATCTAAGAGACATTAATTTTTATTCATCCCTTAACTTTAAATTAACCAGAGAAAAAGCTTTTCCAAAGGGCATAACAGCATATTTTCTGCACATACAGTGGAACTCGCAAAGAGATTTGGAGTTTGGATGCTTAAAAACGAGACAATGGTACGACTGTTTGGACTTGTGTGCAGCATTTTCCTTTGTGCTCTTGTGCTACTGCCAGTAAAGTTGCTGGTGCAGGCATATGTTGCTACAACAGCTTCTGAATGTAGCACCGTCAACCAGCTATTAGGAGCACACTATAGAATCTATAGGATATAGATCTAGGATAAAGGATAAAAAAAACTAAACTAAACACTATGCACAGTGCTGCTATGGAATTGGTGAGCATTTACAGCTTTGCCTCCAAGTGCAATGATGATATTTCTTCTTCAAGCGATTCAAAAACCTCAGTTATGTGTTTTCATTTGTTAGTAAATAACCTTGCAATACTCTATACAAAATAAATCAAACAGACTACTCATGTTTACGCTCTTTATAAAAAGCAACCTAAACACAATTTTTTTTTAATGTCACACAAAAAGGGTTATTTGAGTGACCCAAGTCCTTTTACCATGTCTAAGTGCTCAGCTGCTCAGCCCACATTCCCTCCCTCCAACCACCCTTGTGTCAGCCCAAATGCACTCTTACGCTTATGTCAACCCCTCTCAGACTGGAACAAGGACTTCAGAAACTCAGGGCTTACTAGTGGTGTGAACCTGGGTGCAGGACCAACAATTATTGCACAGTTTAACACTGGTCAAAATAAATTAGTCAAATAATAATTCCGTCAATTATCAGAAAATCAATCGGCAATTACAGGAGATCCTGGTAAAAGTCAATGAAACGTTGTTGAAATCAGGTTATGTTCAAGTCTGTTCAACTGCAAATCACCAAAACCTTCCTTATTGTGATGCAAAGTTATTGGCTGCCCTAACATAGGAAATCTATAAGTCTCTGCTTCAGGAACCATTTAGTTTGTTGATTGACAAAGCTAGTCCCTCGAGAGAGCTGTCTGTAATATTTGGTCTACCCTCCTTGAAATGGACTGGATGAACTAAATATTACAAACACCTCTCAGTATACTTACAACACAGTTCAACAGTATCACAACATACAGCTTCCAAAATGACCATAAAGTTGAAATATTCCTTGCTCAAAGCTTCAACAAAAACTGAACATTATGACCCTGATGAAGGGAGGATTTATTGCAGGGATGTTGTATTACACTGCATTAGTTTTACCTAATAGAAATAAACCTACAACTAATATGTTGCCGTCGATGGCTGGTGAGAAAAATGAGTGGCTGGCTGGTAGGTGTTCACCGACAGCTGTGCTTGGCCGTTTCCTACCCACACTCTAAGCATAAGCTCTACTCATACCTGGGACCTGGACCAAGGCAACCGCACTATTTTACTACTAGCCACTGTGCAGCTTCACTAGAGCAGCCAAGACTTTGCTCGAGAAACTCGACTCAAAGTCAAGTCTCATTCACTACTTGGACCCATGTTCTAAAAAGTTAGTCCAGGGATTCAATCTGGCACATCCTCGGGTACACGCTCCCTCCTCCAACCATTACTGCACTACGTTAAGGCACTAGAAAACACAGACAAAAGGGACATGGAACAGAACAGTCATGAGAACTTGAAAGTGTAAGCGCATGGACGGCCATGTCTTGTGTTATCCTACACTTTTATTCTGGACACACTCTTTTGAAACATCTTCCTGTGGGAAGTTCAGATGCCATTCAAAACACTGTGACACATGAAGCACACCCTGTTCTGCTCTATGCCGATCAATGCAGTGTGAATGAACAAGTGAAAGGTCTCCTGACAGGAATCTTAATAAATCACAGAAAGTTCATTTTGAGGAGTGAAATAACCCAGAACAACATTTACAGACACTTGAACACACTTATTTAATAACCAAAAGTCAAGAGTGTGCTTAAAATCACACTGGCCCCTTATTTCCACCAAAAGGGAAAAAGTATTTAACTGAGCAGCTGTGTTTCTGTCTTATCTAAGCTATGAGGATGTGTAATGTCATAACTGAAACGTTGTAAATCGGCTTTGCAAAACATCCGTATACTATGTAGCAGATAACAGAGGGAGGAGCTACTTGGCTACTGTCAACAGTAGAGCGGCAGCTGAAAGGAGCAGGATAAACTCAGGTAACTGTATTGTAGAGAGCTTTTTCAGCCTGTAAAGTATGGCTTTACGTTCCTACTGCCCACAAAGGGTAGAGCCATGCTTTCCTCATAGAAATTTATAGATAGAAAATTATTTTATGTTCTGTGCTACCCAGGTAGATACAATCACATTTTAATATTAAAGAGAAAACTTTGTCTGTCACAAAAGTAAAAATTTTTGACTGTTTATTTATAAAAAAATCTTTCCAATTAAGCTTCCGTAAGCTCCATTTTAATACAAGGAAATGGAAAGTTTTGCAATTATGCCATCAGACTGTGGCATCCACTTTGTGTGTGTGACAAAAAAGAAGCACAAAACGCAGCATAGATGGTCTCTCAATGCAAACCAGACAAGAACAGCCACATCTCAGATTACATGTTTAGAGCAAATCTTAGTGCCTCTAGTAAAGCAATTTCCATATCCTCCAGTCGATGAAGACTTTAAAGAACCCAACATCACACAGCGCTTTTGGAGCCTAATACATTATCGGTTTACATCTACCTGTATGATTTATAGGGCCAAGAGGAACCATCACTGCACAGAGCCGAGAGCTACAGTTCACCATTCAGGCTCGGCTCAGGAGGCCAGGCAGCTCAACCATTGTGGGAAAGGAAATTCACTACTTGGCGGCTAACCCAGTTACAGGTCAACAGTGTGGTTAGATTGTTTCCTGGCTTCAAAAACAAAAAAGGTCCACACCTCTTCAGTGTACGTAATTATAGGCCAGCAGCCGGCCCATGTGTGGGGGTGGCTCTGAGGGGGGCAGATTAGTCCTCGCTGTCCCTGGAGGCGCTGGTGGAACAGGGCCTGAGGCAGGGCTGCACTGCCAGCAGAGATAGACACAAAGCTTCTATTGCTGAGGCTGTTATTCACTGTGCCAAAGCATTGACCCACAGCCCCACACTCATTTCTGGAGGTAGCAGGCCTGCCATGCTCCATCAATGGGCTCATTCACTCTGCCAGAGTGAACGCACCTAAAAACGTCTGAATCAATTAAAGCCTAAAGAAAATGTGGATAAATAATCGACAGGAGGGTTTTGGCAGAAATATCAGCTCAGCACCTGACGCTGTGGCCACTGCGATAGCCCACACAAAACTAGTTGGTGTAAACAAAGAGGCTACACATTACTGGAAACAAAAAAAAAAACACAGCAAAATGTCATGCCATTCTCCCTTCGGCACGCAAGGACGATGATGCTCTGATCATGATTGTCTGGGACACCGCTGATCTCGTCAAACCAAATCTTCCAACGATTCCGTGGAAATGGTAGTCTAAATATGAAAAACATGAAATACAGTGGAAACTGTAAGGATCCCATCTGAACTTCAATCAGAAACATCCTCTGCAGCTTTAAGGAGCAGCCCAGCAGCATTGCATGGAATGTCTAACTGCTGTGTCTTGGTCCAGCAAAATTTAAACAAATAAAAGGGACTAATTGGCAGTGGACGCTGTTGAGGGCTGCTGGCAGGCGTCCCAGTCTTCCAAAGAAGCAACGGACACACTTGTGTGTTTGTGTGTGTCTGGTACACACACTGACACATGCACATTTACAAGGATGCTGTACTGCAGAGTGGCATACAAGCCCTGGTAACTGTGATAGTACTCCGATAACCAATCACGTGCATGAGTCATGATCTTAAGAATTACGCCTGAGAAAGCAAATAATGGACTTGTAAAGAAACAAAAAAAATCATGATGATTACATACTGATCAATCTGTTGAACTACATAATATGGAATATTAATGATATTGCTAGGCTGTAAAGTAGGCTGGTTCCAGCTGTGCAGCTTGGTGTCCCTCAAATTGCAGCCCTGATGGAAACAAGCAAACAGCAGTCTGCTACACTCTCATGCCATTCCTTTCTCATTTTTCTAAGGACGACTCACACACGCTCGTCGTCCTTAAAGAATGCAATTTGATTCATATGGTTTTTTTACATTTCATTCTGATTCAATGATTCTGAGGAACCACAGGCCATACCTTCCCTCCCACAGAGCACTGGAACGCACATGCTCACATGGAAACTTCACAGAGGAGACTAGTCTTAACAAAAGCTGTGACCCAGTGAATCAAAGTGATTTCCCACCATATTAATGTCACAAGTCCGACTAAAATAAACTTTAAGATTAACTGCAATTGTGTCATCAATGGAAA